ATTTCAATTTGTTTGATTCCGATCCAATATTCCCACTAATTATTGAATATTCAATTGCAATTTTTTTGGAACCGAGTGGTTCAGACACAATGGCAAGTGTTTATTGCAGTTTCAAAGATCCCAGTGAAGTTGTATTCAGTATTGTTCAAATAACGTATATAACTTACTTCTGATAGCTATATTTCAATGCATTTTAGTTCTGAAAATTGCGGGAAAAAGGTTTAGAAAACCCAATGACATACCCTATTGTATTAAAACAAAATTACTAAATCAACAGAACCTTAACCAAGAGGAAATTAGGAAGTGCAGGGAATGTAGACGAGGTTGCAGTGTAACAACTTGTTGTCATTATAAGAAAATTAAGGAGAAGTTATAAACGACCTCAACGAAGGCAAAGACTAAACACACTTGCGAATCCCTGACAAATTAATATTTTTACAAAGAATATTATATCATCAACAAGTATATTTTTAAAAGTTTTAAGTATTAAAATAATCTGTATTTTACACAAATAATTGTGTTACAATTTCCAAACTATACAAGATATTAACTGTAAGTAATATGAAGATCGTATATTTTTTAAATATTATTTTCATACAATTTTCTGATATTAATGATACGAATAAAAACTCTCCCGACACTATTGATACATTATAAAATCGTTTTTGAATGTGAAAAAGTTGTACAACTATGATAGATTTCGACCATTTGCCTGTTGTCATCAGGATCAGTAGGAGGCTTTGAGGTTGGTATGATGACTAAGTATTGTAAATTTCACAGTACAAATAAAATGATATCAAGTAGTGTTGAAAGACAACAGGATGCTAATAAAGAATGTTATCACTGATGACTAAAATTTGTAATATTTTGGTTTTTAGGTATTCAAAAAATTATTTCAATTTATAAAAAGTAATAACATAAAGTGAAATTGTTACCATCAAACTCTGCATGGAAATTCGTTTCAAAGATACTGAATATTGTACCCATTGCTCTAGAAAGTTAACTAACAACAATCGACGCTAACAGAGTAAGCTTCGAGAATGTTAAATGGATAACATAAACGGTTCGTCACAATAATGAATAAAACAACACAGTTTGTCTCAGAACTCCTCCTGCAATGACACTGTTATATGTATTACAGTCAGAACCGTCACTACTCCATGTATGATGTCACGTGACCATGACCCTGTCAGCTGATTGGCTCCCGCCATTTCACTCTCGACGGAACAGCTGATCGTATGTTTGCCGCCAATTCATGATGACCTAACTGAGGTTGTGGTCTGTTCTAACATTGAAAACGGTCGTTTATTATTATTGACATATTGTGTTCAATTTGTCCACCTTATACATTCAGTAATATGATCCGTGTATATTACATACCTTGGATTTCAGACTTCATTCACATGATAATCGGACGTATAGCATGTAATTTGTTAGTGATATTAACCATTATGGGATTCTAAGGTTGAGCACATCATTAGGTAGCCTAGTGGTGTAGGATACTGTTTTTAGTTAACCTCACAGATTTAAGATCGCGACAAATTAATTGTGGCCGTTTTAATATTAATATTATGTTATTATTGTGACACTTCGCATTATATATACTTATTCCACACCTATAAAATTTACATCATCGTGTCCAATGGAAAACCGTGTCCAGATGTAAAAATAACATTCAAATCTCGACATATTTATGTAATAAACAATTAGGGTTGTAGTGCTGTGTATGTGTCAATAATTTTCAAATAAAAAATAAAAATCCATAATTTTCTAAACGTGTTTAAAATACTTACTCTATCTCAAAGTTTGCTTTAAACAAACTAATAAATTGAGTATTATTGAAATATTGTTCACTTCATGCTATTGCTTGTACCTTTTGCTCGGCTTGAATACAAATCTTTTTCAACATATTGAAAATATTGTTTGTAGACAACTGGATACATCAAAATCAGAAACTACATTGTTGAATAGCAAATTTCCGATGTTCACAAACTCAAATTATTTTATCTCTCGCACCAACGCATTTTAAATTAAGCTCACGTATCTTTTACTAGCTATAAACTAACCACGCAGACTTATCTACACCTGAACCTTCGGAATCCATTCACCTTCACAAATTTGCATAAAGCCGAGAGGGAGCTGATATGTTTAATAAGGACTAAAGCGAATCTCAAATACGTGAAGATGATCGCGAGTGTTGTAAGTATGTTTACTCTCGTGCCGTGTAAGGATCCTCTCTCTCACGTACATAACGCCGACCGTTGATGTGATATCACATGTGATAAGTATCGCAGTATGTGACGACGCGACAATAACTCACACCCCCTCACTTGTGATGTGATGTTCGTATTGTGATTTGTATTTGGAATGTGAACTGAGCGAAACAAATGCAAAGTTATGTGATTAGGCGAATGCTGCAAGACGTGGATGAACAGAATTGCTGGGACGATCTGTAATAGTTTGGTATAACTTACATCTTACACAACTGTATATTTTAACACTTCACTTATATAGTGATACTAGCTGTACCCGCGGGCTTTGCCCCGTTTAACCTCTTAATTTTCAAGATGATCTCGTTCGCATGGCTCAATCACGTCCTGGTTGAAGTTCGTTCGCTACGCTCACTCACCTTTAGGTTGGAGCTCGTTCGCTACGCTAACTCGTCTCCAGGTTGAAGTTCGTTCGCTACGCTCACTCACCTTTTGGTTGCAAATTAGCTGTTGTCATAAATTAAAATAAATAATAGTGCTGCACCCTGTTGGTAATCCTTGTAACTTTAATGCTATTGAACATCATAGAACAGAACCAACTTGTTTAATTGAAACAGCTGTTAAGATTCATTAATTCCTTTTAAATATGAAAAATCATAAGGCTAATATGGGAAACTCCAGAGCCACTGGGGCGGAGCCTGAGAGTCCGATCAGAATAAAAACACCTTAGTTTTCTTATTTAATGCCTAAAGAATCAATGTACCAAATTTCAGCCTCCTAGGTAAATGGGAAGTGGGAGAATTAGTGATGAGTGAGTGTGTCAGTGTGTCAGTGAGTCAGTGAGTCAGTGAGGGCTTTGCCTTTTATAAGTATAGATAATTTGTGGGCGTATTGTATGCTGGAAATTCAGGAAAAGGGTATAATGGACTGGGGCTGTGTAAATTTGCTATTGACTAAGATCAGCCGCTTCTAAGCCAGAATAAAGGACAACCCAATGATTAAAGACATCTAGGTTGAGTTCCAAATCAACAAAAATCCATTAAGAGTCCATTGTACCTAGACGTTCTAACTCATAAAACAATTAAAACACTACAAATACAATTTATAATCTCACAGTATACTAGATATTTGAATTACAGTCACTTTGGCATTTGAAAAAGATATTTTGAGATGCATTACTCTAACAGCAAATCCAAGATGGCCGTTAGCCTCCCATGGACTCCTTTGAGAAACGATATAAAACTGTATAGGAAATTTCTAATCCCACAGTGCCCTAGATATTTAAATTATAACCACTTTGGTGTTTGAACAAATATTTTGGATAAAAAACTCTTCAGCAGCTATTTGAAATTATTCAAGATGACCAGATAGCCTCCAAGGACTCTTAAGCTGTTTTCTGGATCAAAACCACAATCCTGAGGGATTCAAGACACATCAATTATGGGTTGTTGACCGAGTTCTAGAACCAATCAACACTACTCTTTTCACAAAACTTCAAAAATTAACATTTGTATACTATGGTTAAATTGTGTGTAGACTAACAAACTATGAATTGCATAAAAAGCATGGGCGTACGTAAAAGGGGGCATTACAGTGAAACGGTAAAAAACCGTTACTACAAAAGTCTTTAAAGACTTAAGAAATTACAAAGTTCATTATGGTTAAAACAGGCTCGGGCTCTAGTTTAGAACGTTATTTGTTTCTTATTATGTTATTCTTATAATTTTATAAAGTATATAAAAACCATATACGGAAACAGTTTATAAATATATTATTTATAAACATTTTAGAAATAACTTTAAATGTACAGTACTTCGTATTTTTATTTTGGTGAGTTAAATGTGGTTAAATGGGAAATATTGAATTAAAGAAGGATGAACTAGTTACAATCAAATAAAACTCGTATAAATGAAACATTGACAGTAATACAAACAAATTTGCATTGTATATGTGCATAAATAGCACGGGCGTACTCATTGTTTCCAAATGCATGTATAATTTTAATAAGCTCCCAAGTTTCTCGGTCAACGCGAGTTTCGAAGTGGCGATTGTTGTCGGCAACGAGGCTACGGGGGTCTCATGTGAATGAATATATATTTACGACAAAAATATCGATACAATACAATTATATCTAGCTTTTAGTATATGCTCGTTCCATTTTAAACTTTGTAATTAGATGAACACTTTGTTGTTATGTTTAGAGGCCTAGTACTGAACAATACGAATTGTATATGGCAAGGTTTGTAAAAAGTATCAGAACATAGAATTTCACATAAATGGAATATAGACATAAATAACCTCTTAAAACATTTAATTTTTTGCAAAGAAAAATTAAATATAATAACAATGTTGACAATATCATACGTTTCCTTCATCCTTAATAAATTGTTTGAACTAAATAACTACCCTAAACTAACCCCACTTGTATGAAAAGCAATTTTGGACACCTACTAGATGTTGACCTACATGTTAAAAAACATAATTAATCCTTAAAAGTAAATTTACCACTCAACACCAAAAGTCACTCCTCGAACCACAATGCTAAAATTAAATCCACTTATTTAATCCACAGTGCGATAATCCCTTCACTAACTGAGGTGGTCGATTATTCTGATGAAACCTTGGATAATTCGGAGCTCAGACTGTGTTAAATCGTCTAAATCGCGGCAGCAGTTGTCGATTAGGTGTTACGTCACGTTATTGAGGGGGGACACGAGCCCCCTGATCTGGTGGGGGGAGGATGATCCCGGAAAATGGCCGCCAACGATGCACGGAGGAGAGTAGTGGGTTTAGCAACGGGGTGAGTGTATATAAAGTGTGTACAGCAGGAGCACACTGTGCATCCACCATCCTACCACAGCAGACATGAAGGTACCTCTTAACTCTATGTCAAGCATAAGTAGTGTTGTTTCAATTTGTTGTGTAGATGTTATACTTTTATTTTATTAGTAATTTTAGTGGTATTGAAATTTAAATTGATTTTGTTGGTAATAGTGATATGTTTATAAACATATGTTATTTATTTAATTGTTAATACACCTACTGTTAAAATGTATTGATGGAGTAGAGCTACAAAACTATTACATAGTTCTGTCTTTTCTGAAGTAAATAAAAAATATTTCAAGTACGTGACAACATAAGAGCTTGTTTATGAAAATATGTGAGTCGCCTTTTACTCCTATAAACGCATTATGGGTTTAGGTTGGTTAAGGATAGCTAATTGATTTTATTTCTTTTTGTTGGCACATATTGTTTATCTTTACATCGAGTATAAGTATGTTTAAAGAGTTATACATTTTAAAAAGCATTTTTAGGTTAGGATGGCCCATTTGATCCATTTTTAAATTTAATTGATTAGTAATATACAAACTTAAATGTATATTTTTTAATCACTTTTGTACACAAAAATTTAGCTGACCAAAATACCACATTACATAAGAAAAACAGTTGATACCCCTTTTTACTTGTTTGATAAGGAAAACACATTTAAACACCAATGGTTAGCAAACAATCAGATTAAGAATACTCATAGAGTTATAAACTAATTATATTTTTGCTTTTATTTAATGGTCTCAAGTATTATAGCCTTCTCCTTTGTAATAAAAATTTTAAGTAAATTAAACTTAATCTTTTGATAAAAAATAATGCATGTAACAAATATATTACTCCGTAAGCTTTCAATAGAATAAATCGCAAACCGCAAAGTGTTGTAACTTAAAAAAAAATCAAAAATAAATGGAATCAGCATACTGACAGATACTTTCTTTCATAAGCTTGGCATTTAAACTGAACATAGTACCACTTTTATAAGTTTGGAACTCTGGACACATCCACTAAACCCATACACAGACATAACTTTGAAACCAACTAAAATAACTGGGAAAATATTTTAAACAGAAACACTGTCTCTGCGTCACAATAACCTGAATATTGTTGTTAATCTGATAGATGATGATAATGAATTTATCAGATATTACTTAAATATATCCTTCATACTTTTATGGCATTTTAAAGTTAGTTAGACTAGTTCAAACATATAAACTAATGATGTTTTGAACCGTTTTTCTTCAATTATTGCCAATTTCTTGAGTAATTGTTTTTAACAACATTTGTTTAATACAATTTGTGCAATACCAAAGGACTATCTGATTTGCCATAGTGTTTGGTTTTTTTGGAATGTTTGATGCTAACTAGGTGGTTTAAATATTTTTGATGATACACAAATATAAATTTAACATTAAAATTGTAAAACAAATTGAAGGACCTACCTTAGAGATTGGTAAATTTCGTTAAATATTGTTTTTAAATTCTACATTACCTATTTATAGTTTTAAAAAATGTGATTGCCATCAATATACTTATAATATTGTCATTATACTATTTTAGTTTAAATGTATTTCAATTTACGAAACCCAATAGTTTTCAAAGGTTCATTCAAGCAGTTTTGATGCCATGATACAAGTATGGATAATGGAAAATAAGAAAACTCAACACTAAAAATATTGATTAAATTGTATTAAATTCTTCATCTACGGTTACTAATAAAAAAATAAATGGAAATGTTATTGCGTTTCCATATTGATTAATACTAATAATTTTTACTTTATAAACCTTTTGAGCTTTTAAAATAAAATCACATTCCCAAATTAAAGGAATACATTTCAAATTTGAAAAGTAAGGGAATTATAATTTAACTACACTAAAACCCAAACCGGATTAAGTAATTCTTATTTTGTACTCAATATATCATATACCCACAAGCAATCATAATTCAAAATTAGTTATTTACCTAAAGGATTACGCTAACGAAGAGAGGAAAATATTTTAATTACAATATTTATAATCATCAGAATTACACACGTTTGACATGGATATTCAGGTTTTAGTAAAATCGTTTTACGACTTCCTTTTATCACACCATTATTTCTGTTACCATTGACGAGTTTTGTTAACGAATTAAACAATGATTTAAGCACAGGATTTTAGTTGACAGATAATGTTTGAATTGGTAGTCAAAAAATATTTAAGTAAAGAGGTGAATGGGAGAAGTAAACCTCCTCATGTAATTAAATTACCTGCAAAACTAACGCAGTATTCTTTGTTCTATTACTTCAAAACAAACGTTTGAAAGCCATTGAGCATTTACTAATTCTTGCGACTTATTGGCTTAGTTACTATTTAGTCACTTTAAAAAGTAAAAACTATCAACTTGATTAAACCAAATAAAAAAAACTATGATATATTATTCCTTTAAGTAGTCAGTCAAGTAATTTAACCGGGCAAATGCAAGGTTAAAAGAGGCCGCCAACCTCTTAAAAAAAATAATAATAATGTAAATAGATGATTATAAAATAAAACTAGTAGCTTGTAGGGACATAAGTCTCTAAAAAGCTCAAATAACACATTATTGTATTACTTAAACGGATAATAATCAAATTATCTATATGTCAGGATAGTGTTGTCCATGTAAACCATACTTTGTGTAAAAATGCAGTCTCTTCGTCCGCTTTGGTTGTTGTTATTTTCAATTATTAATTAGATTCCTTCCAGAGTTTTAAATCTGCTAATGATGACAAACATATATTTGTTTGTGAGTAAATAATGGTTTAATAAGGTAGCCCTGGTCTTGTAGTTAATGATAATCTTCTTCGCCGTTTGGATTTTTTTAATTCTCTTAATGAAATAAGACAAATACATGTCCCTGACCTTGTTATTATTTCTTATTTTATCCTCATTTTGGAAAAACCCAATGAAATTGGTGTAAAGGCCAATTGGGTTGGTGTTTGCATGAACCATAGATTTATGTTTCTGATCAACATCAAAATAGAAACTACATTTATACAGTGTAACTAATGTAATATTCCTCCTGATGGTGTTATTGAGTTAATATATATCAGCATAGACTGTGTTCATCTCATGTTAATTCATTATTTAATTATTTTCTTAATTGGAGATTAACCTTCGGTACATGGTTTCTAAATGAAAAATAACAAACAAATGTTTAGGCACATTTTAATACAAATATGAATGTTTTTGTTGGGGTTTGGTGATTGTGATTATTATTATTGGAAAACTATTCTAACAATTTATTCCAGTCTTTGTTGATGAGTATAATAAATTGGCTATGAACATTATACATACTAGCTGTTACCCACGAACTTCTCAACCCGTTTGACTTCATAAGTATTAATAAAACTATTGATTGGTTAAGGTTAAGCCGAAATACACAAAACTGAATACAGTAATACAAACAAAAAATCACGCCTGATTTTAATAAGGTAATAAATTGAAAGAATAACAAACAAATAAGTACAGCTGAGGTATTTTTAACAATAGGTACATGGAAAGTTTTCTTTAGAGAGGAATTACGACCTTAAATGGCTATTTATGAAATGATGGATAGTTTTGCACAAGGTTTTTCGTCATGACGAACATTTTAAGTATATTGTTTATGAGGGTGTGAATTTTAGTTATCTCAAAAGTTCATGGGTACTTTGGGAATTATATATAGATTTTATGAAGTAAAAAGGAAAATATGCTTTCCAAATGCCGAAATTTAGTTTGAGACATATTATGTTTGAACGGAAAACTAATATTTAGATACCTAATAAACGTGCATTACTCTTTTTTTGTAAATTTTAATTTCACAAATGTATTTCTTGAAAACAATAGTTATATAAATTTAATTTCCAATCGGCCAATCCCAGAGAGTGTTCATGTCACAAAGTGTCCTTTCTCGCCAAGATTTCCATACTTACGTGGTGTACTAGAAGCTATAGTTCACAGTAGGTTAACCTTTCATTTGTATTGGTTTAGGTTTTTAGTATTATATTATTTAATAATCGACATCAGTACACCCTGTTATTGACTTCCCTTAACATACCATAACATTAAATCAACTTTGCCGTTAAAACAACTCATAACTTTTAGTTGATACTCAAGTCTCTATTTCAGGTAAAACAAGTTACAATAAGTTTTAATCTCTACCAATTTTTTATAGATGCAATACGGGTCTAAAGTAGATATTTTACTCCCTAGGGAGTAAAAAGACGTTTTAGTCCCTTGGGGTAAGAAAGAGCTGTTGTAAACAGTTGCATACTTATGACGATAAATATAGTTCATCACACGGGCAAAAAGTGGCCTTTCAACCACCGCTCGTTCTCCAAGCTTGAGCTCGGTTCGAAAAGAGTCACTTTACAGTCTAGTGATGAAATATACTATTTCTATCCCAGTTTCACATAATGTATATATTAATGTAGCGTAAAAAATGGTTTAAGCCGTCCTTTCATTTTAGCCTGGCAAAGTCTGTTTATGTGATATTAACCAGTAGTTTGCATCACCAATCTCTATAGGTGGATCAAATTAACCAAATTCATTATGATCCTGGCGGTAACTTTAACATGAAGTGGAATGTTTACTATTCTTCGTAGCCACTAAAACCTAACTCATAGTTAAGTAGATGCTTGAGTTTCCATTTCAGATTAAACATGTCACGTTTATGTTTCAGATACTCATATTATTGCTGGTAACAGCAACGCTCGCCAGGCCGGAGCCCCCGGTCTCCCCACAGTACCTGCCTCCCAACGGTAACGGGAGATCACCATCATCTACCTATGGAGCACCAAGCATAGGTGGAGGAAGCAGTGGTCTTGGTCTAGGCGGCAACGGGTTCAGTGGCTCTTCCTACCTTCCTCCAACCCAAAACAATGGTCAATCCTTTGGCGCCGGTAATGGCAATGGGGCAAGCGGCATCTCATCCACCTACGGGACTCCCGGTTTGACGGGGTCTAGCGCTGGCCAAACATCCTTTGGTAACAATAATGGTGGAGGTCCTTCACCATCTTATGGTGTACCAGGATTGAGTGGAAATGGAAACGGAAACGGCAAAGGCCCCTCATCTTCGTATGGTGTCCCCGGACTAGGTGGAAATGGCAACGGCCAAAGACCATCCTCCTCATATGGAACTCCTGGTCTTGGTGGAAATGGCAACGGCCAAAGACCATCCACCTCATATGGAACTCCTGGTCTTGGTGGAAACGGCAACGTTCAAAGTCCATCCTCTTCATATGGAACTCCTGGTCTTGGTGGAAACGGCAACGGTCAAAGTCCATCCACCTCATATGGAACTCCTGGTCTTGGTGGAAGTGGCAACAGTCAAAGACCATCCTCCTCATATGGAACTCCTAGCCTTGGTGGAAACGGCAACGGTCAAAGACCATCCTCCTCATATGGAACTCCTGGTCTTGGTGGAAACGGCAACGGTCAAAGACCATCCTCCTCATATGGAACTCCTGGTCTTGGTGGAAACGGCAACGGCCAAAGACCATCCTCCTCATATGGAACTCCTGGTCTTGGTGGAAACGGCAACGTTCAAAGACCATCCTCCTCATATGGAACTCCTGGTCTTGGTGGAAACGGCAACGGTCAAAGTCCATCCTCCTCATATGGAACTCCTAGCCTTGGTGGAAACGGCAATGGTGGTCTCTCATCTTCTTACGGTGTGCCTGGACTAAGTGGAAATGGAAATGAAAATCCGTCCTCAGAGTACGGCCTTCCGAACCTATCTGGAAGTGATAGCAACAGCTTTGAAGGAGGTCTTCCTCCCAATTCATACCTACCTCCAAGCAACAGTCTATCTGATGAGAACCAGCCGTCTTCTGAAGTTGGCCCCCCTCCAAGCAGTGGAGGAAATGGATATTCAAACGGAGGAAGTGAAGCAGGTTATCAAAGTGGTCGGCCCGGAGGAAATGGAAATGGAAATGGATATCCAAGTGGTCGTCCTGGAGCTAACGGAAACGGAGGTTACCCCAGTGGTGGCCCTGGAGCTAACGGAAACGGAGGTTACCCCAGCGGTGGTCCTGGAGGAAATGGAAATGGAAACGTTGCATATCAAAGTGGTCGTCCTGGAGCTAACGGAAACGGTGGTTACCCCAGTGGTGGTCCTGGAGATAACGGAAACGGTGGTTACCCCAGTGGTGGCCCTGGATCTAACGGAAACGGTGGTTACCCCAGCGGTGGTTCTGGAGCAAACGGAAACGGTGGTTACCCCAGTGGTGGTCCTGGAGCTAACGGAAACGGTGGTTACCCCAGCGGTGGTTCTGGAGCAAACGGAAACGGTGGTTACCCCAGCGGTGGTTCTGGAGCAAACGGAAACGGTGTTTACCCCAGTGGTGGTCCTGGAGCTAACGGAAACGGTGGTTACCCCAGCGGTGGTCCTGGAGCAAACGGAAACGGTGGTTACCCCAGTGGTGGTCCTGGAGCAAACGGAAACGGTGGTTACCCCAGCGGTGGTTCTGGAGCAAACGGAAACGGTGGTTACCCCAGTGGTGGTCCTGGAGCACAAGACGGTTACTCTAGTGGAGGCTTTAGTGGTGAAAATGGATTTGGAGCTTCTGGCAATGGCCTTGAGGATGAGGGTCCTGTGAGTATACTATGTTTTCAATAACTGTACCATAGATATTCAACCATAGAGATTTTACGCTACATTGAAAGCTCGCAAGAATGTATGTAATGATTATCAGGGGATTGTCACATTCAATGTGCGTTATAACATCTGGAAAAGTTGTGTGTATTTAATTTGTGCACATTATTCAGACGCAATTGTATATGTACTGAATCTGATTTTATTTAGAGGATAGACCACTTGTCAAAGTACATACATACATCCACTTTTAACCTTAAAATTATTAGATTTTTCTTGAATGTTATAACATTTTACTTGTGCACTAAAAGTAGTTTAATAAGCTTTAAAAAGATGTACGGGCCATTCTTTTAATATTCTGGTAGATTTATTTGAACAATTTTGTTTCAGACGGAACCAGCCAAATACGAATTTGACTACAAGGTTAATGATGCAGAATTTGGTACGGAGTTCGGTCACCAAGAAACTCGAGATGGCGACCAAACTCAAGGTTCATACAACGTACTTCTTCCCGACGGTCGCAAACAAATAGTCGACTACGAAGCTGACAAGGAAGGTTTTAGGCCTAAGATTCGGTACGAGGGTGAGGCTAATAATTTAGGTAGTGGAAATGGTGATAGCAGTGGAAATGGTGGCTACCCATCTGGACCAAACGGTGGCAGCAGTGGAAATGGTGGCTATCCATCTGGACCCAACGGTGGCAGCAGTGGAAACGGTGGCTACCCATCTGGACCCAACGGTGGCAGCAGTGGAAATGGTGGCTACCCATCTGGACCCAACGGTGGCAGCAGTGGAAATGGTGGCTACCCATCTGGACCCAACGGTGGCAGCAGTGGAAATGGTGGCTACCCATCTGGACCCAACGGTGGCAGCAGTGGAAACGGTGGCTACCCATCTGGACCCAACGGTGGCAGCAGTGGAAATGGTGGCTACCCATCTGGACCCAACGGTGGCAGCAGTGGAAATGGTGGCTACCCATCTGGACCCAACGGTGGCAGCAGTGGAAACAGTGGCTACCCATCTGGACCCAACGGTGGCAGCAGTGGAAATGGTGGCTACCCATCTGGACCCAACGGTGGCAGCAGTGGAAATGGTGGCTACCCATCTGGACCCAACGGTGGCAGCAGTGGAAATGGTGGCTACCCATCTGGACCCAACGATGGCAGCAGTGGAAACGGTGGCTACCCATCTGGACCCAACGGTGGCAGCAGTGGAAATGGTGGCTACCCATCTGGACCCAACGGTGGCAGCAGTGGAAACAGTGGCTACCCATCTGGACCCAACGGTGGCAGCAGTGGAAATGGTGGCTACCCATCTGGACCCAACGGTGGCAGCAGTGGAAACGGTGGCTACCCATCTGGACCCAACGATGGCAGCAGTGGAAATGGTGGCTACCCATCTGGACCCAACGGTGGCAGCAGTGGAAACGGTGGCTACCCATCGGGACCAAACGGTGGCAGCAGTGGAAACGGTGGCTATCCATCTGGACCAAACGGTGGTAGCAGTGGAAACGGTGGCTATCCATCTGGATCCAACGGTGGCAGCCTAAGCGGGTCTTTTGGTGAGGATGGTTATAGATATTAGACTAACAAATTGCTCAGAGCCTAACTTCGGCATGTATGTACATAGGTAGAACTGCTTTTTTGAGTCAGTAGAGATAGCTATTTGTTTCAGCAAAGCTAATTTGTGCTATAATAATTATTATTACTACTTAATTCTATTTGTTCCCAAGATGCGCATAGTTTTCTTTTTAAAAGAGAATGTTCATGCATGTCCTCTTGTTCTAGGGTCACTGTAAGCCTCGTTTATATATTTAATTGTGTTCAACTAGAATAATTATTGTGATTATATTTATTTATGTATTTATTTATTTATTTAATAGTTGTTGTAAAGAATCCAATTGAATAAAACAAGTTCATTGAAATTTGCAGACATTTTCTTGACCTTTTAAAAGTTTTCAGTATATATAGATTTAAAAATACCAACGATTGTAAAAATCAATTAGCCAAATTTGAATAAAGATAACAAAAAACAACTTATACTTATAAATTATCAGTTGTTATGTTTTTAAACTCCTGATTGACGTATAACAGATAATTGTAAAGATGTTTAGACAATGTAAAGAAGTATTAGCATTGTTTAAATGGAGAAAAGTATCCATAATTGTTTACATTATTTGTAGTAGTAAAGTTAAAAAGTGTAAAATTAACTGTATTTTCAATTTTAAGATTTTGTTTGAAAACCTACATCACTCAAATTCTCTGTATACATTTGGATATGCATATAACTAGTTAATTGTAATATTTTGTCGAATCAGTATGTGTTTCAAAATGTCTGTCCAAAATGTTTCAGTGTTTGATTGTTCTAAATATACTACTTGACTATACTACACAATATACTATACAATATTTAAGCGGTTTGAGAGGAAGCCCCCCACCTTTTCTGTATTTAATGTATGTTCCTTAATCAGTTGTTGAGATATTATTTTAAATGTAAAGATCAAATGGAGGGGATATATTTCATCCCCTAAAACCGCCTAAATATTGTGAACGAAATATAAATAACTCGTCGTAATGACATCTGATTACTGTTTACCAAAATCAGCTGGGTTAGCTCTGGGCAACTTATCAGAGGGTCAATACAAGCTACATCAATTGTGTTGACAATAGTATATTTTATCAGTGATAATAGTATTCTTATTTAGGGCGTGCTCATGTGTATGGCCAAACATATGTACGTGAGGGAAACGGATCAAGAGGTGGTTAAGGATCTCTTTGCGTATACCATTTAATAATCAAGTTACATTAAATAAACAAAGATAATCAGTATGGTACCCGCGAAAAAATTGCGCATTTTATTGGAGTTTAAAACTTGATTCCGAGGTAAAATGAATAATGAAGATAATGTTTGGGTTGCTTAAGACGATTACTAGGTGGATACAACTAATAACTTAATAACTTACAATAAAATAAATTTGTTAAGTTTTACACCTACACTATTAACCTACCTCAATCAGATTACAATTATAAAATTAATCCATATGAAGTCCAATTTCATAAACTAGTTTGTCTCTTGTTTACAATCTAACTGATCCTAAATATTACTACCATAGATAAAACATACTCCTTATTAGTCTACGATTCAAATGAGCGATCAGCTATTAAATTGCAATCCACATGTGAACCGACGTAAAGAAAGTTGGTCGGCATCATTAAATCTCTGAACGTAAACTCAAAAAATCTAATTCTAAGAGGCGAGACCCTAAAGGACCATTCGTCACTCCACTAGATCATAAGCTATAAAAATATACCTCAATCATAAAAATCGGTTAATTAGGACGGCTGTAAAAAGGATGTTACAGAAAAGCCCCTAATTTTCTAAAGTGTATAGGTAAAAAAAACTATGAAAATTCATCAATAGGAAAGATAATAGCATTTTTTGGGAAAACGCATAACTAATTGAAAACAAAGGAAATCAGCTTACTTTTTTCATCTGTTTTAAATTAGAATTTTAAGAAACGATAATTTTCTTTGTGATCAGCTGTAATCCAAAATAGTAGTTTTCTGTACGTGATGGCAATAACTTTTTCTTTGTGCCAAGAGATAATTTTACTCACAAGCAAGGACCGTTTTCCAAGTTCTAAGCGATTACAGGCAGATGTTACAGCCCTATCCTAACAGACGTCGCCAATTGTATGTTTTCCTGGGACAATTCCCACCATTCGTGACCCACTAACTCTCGGTTTCCTCAACTCTTGGTCCTTACTCACCTGATTCTCTGATCCTGACAAGTTCCTGATTTTCTGTCAGGTTTGGCAATCCTCGAGACAATTTATTCTTACTTGCACTTACAATATTGAAACATTTAGACTAGGTATACCATGTTGATTGCCGTGTATTTCTAAATTGCTTACCTTTTCTAAAACTGATATTCAACTGAAAAACTGATAAAAAGATATTAAAACGACTGTAAACTAGTTAGCAACTTATAACTATAACTTATAACTATTATACTTATAGTAACTTAGCTATACATGTTGGATCTTTTCTGGATTATATACACTTTTCTACTTTATGTCAATTTTTCTATTTACAAAATGTGTTTTTTCATTAAGTATCCTTTTTAGATTTTTTAATGTACACTACAAATAATGCTTTAAAATGTATTACTACCCTAACAGTTGTTTGTAAATAACAGTTTAACCACCTCATGACATAGGTAAGAAATATCTTGACATTTCTTACATTTTAAGTATCAGAATTTCATATAAATAAATGATAATTTATATTGTAAGGTTTTCCTTTATTTTTAAGGATAATTCATTTTATATAGGCAATCCAGAGGCTAAAGTGATTGAAATAAATGCTATTATTTTTTCTTTTTTATTAACCTATTTTTTTCTAAAAAATGAAACTGTTGAAATTAAATTGAATAAATTAGTGAAATAGATATAAAAACCTTACAATTTTAAATCTTTCTCGACTTTATATATGATGTAATTAGGTTGCCATACTGTTTTCAATACTATAAACTAAAGTCTCTCTTAAACCTGGAATATTTCTAATTTTTTTTATTAGTATTTTGGGCAGTGTCTTGAACCACAGTGCTAAGCAATGCAAGATTTTCATTTCTAGTAATGTACATGAGTGCAAAGGGCTTAGCGCAATATTAAAACTCTGTTGATTCAATTAAGATAGTAATAATTTTTCAGTGGTTCAATAGCGCAAGCACAATGTTGATGCACTTTACCTTTACCTTATTTAGTTATTGTACTCTAGTTACATGTTGATATTATTTATTTATCTATTCATATCAACGGATACACCATTTTACATTGTTTACTGTGGTAGACACGAGAGCAGATTACAAATAAGTTGGTCTATACAAACGCATTAATATGTGTAAAGAAATAAACATTATGGTATGTCAAAATTATTTTTACTCAAAAAAGAGCATAGTTTACATTTCATATTTTAATTTAGATCAAATTAATTTATTTCTAAAATTCTAAGGAATACATAAATGACGCCTCTATAATTATGAGGCTTTCTGACTATACAATGACAAGAAGAATTAAATTCATAGCATCAGTTGTAAATAGTGAAGAATACTAAATCTTAAAATGGCTTTTATCGAGCAATAACTACAAATAAAAACCTTGAAAACAAATTTAAAAGGTAGAAAACAACTAATAATTAATTACGATAGTCATTTAGTTCTATTTATTTATCCAATCAGCATTACTTTTACACAACAGTGCCATCTATGCTCCTCTTCAATTTTTAATACGCATTTCCTATCAAACATACTGTTCAGAAAATATCTTCTTAATTTTATGTTGATTTATTTGTACAGGAATTTATGTTATTATTTTCTTTGTCCTTGTTTCAGCTAATTGTAACCACTCGGATTATATAATCTATAATTTTGATGAGCTCTATTTTTACCGTTTGAAGAAAATATTTGCTAATATTTTTGTTTCGTTTATTACTCTTAGCAGTAAGACTTGCGTTTTCCCTTTAGTAAGACGATTATAGGTGTTAATAGAACTGAAACACGGACAAATGAGGGACCTAGAAGCTTAATAATTTTTTAGGAGTTGGATTCAATTGTTACATATAGACTTATTGGTCATCTGTTGTTTATGTAGCCTGTCGTTTTAATTTACTAATGTTAGATGAACCAAAATGTTAAAAGTCACTAAAATATCAAAAATTTTAATAAAATCATTCAAATCGTCTAAAACGTTTAAACCTTAACTAAAATTAATGCATAGACCAAATCCATAATAGTAAAAAACATGCATAACAAGTGACAATAATATATCCTTGATGAGCCAATGACGGCAAGGTCAATGCGCTGACGTTAGCGGTAGTTCTGTGGCGCGCATGCGTCGTAGTCACGGACGGATATAGAGCGCGATGCGCAGCCGTGGTGACTGCGACTGGTGGTGGGGGTGGGAACTGATTCCAATTCCACGGTTACATCAGCAGACGACACTGTCTCCCGCCACGGCGCAGAGCTACTGTCACTGTCGCCGTCTTTGGGAAAGTATCCGGCTCCATCAGGACCGTTGTTGCAATTGCAACATTGCGGAGAGTTGGTAGGTGTAAACAGCTGGTAGTGAATTGATTAGTTATGAGCCCAGAGTAAAGCAGATTAATGTTATGTTGAGATTTAACAAAATGACCTGTTCAAAGAACTCATATTATTGACTACAAATATCATCGATTATTACTAAAAATAGCTTTGGGTACGTAATTTCAGTTTAGTACGATTGCAAGGTAAGTGTATAGTAGCGTGAGGCAGGCTATGCACCTTCGCTAACTGAATGACACATTTCATTAGCCATGATCAACAAGAACTGCCGAACCATTGTCAACCGAATCTTCAACAACATCTGGGCCAATCAGAAAACAACTCTTTTAGTAATGAATTGGTAACTTCCTTTGTTAAAACTAAAAATGAAAAATTTAACGGTGTTATTTGGTTGTGGTACAAAACTTTCAGCGTTTCAGATATCAATCACATTCTGTGGCCTTTTGGTAATAACCGGTTGAGCCCAATATATTCTCTATGGGTAAATAACAAGCTGCAAATTGGTATTGGATCTACAACAATATAGACAGACAATAGATCCTTTTGTCTGCGATTTAAACACATTAAAGCATGCATGTCATTAAAAGGCTTCAAGTGGCATTAAAAAATTGCATGAAAAAAAACACGTCTAATAACAATTGTAATAATATATTTACACGTATACTGTTTACTCACAAGACGGTAAATACATATAACAGAAGGACGATTTCGATTGGACACTCCAACTATCATCAGACCCAATAAGCAAATGATGTATTCGCATTAAACTTTCAGGTAGTTAAATTACACATAAGATGCTGATCAAGAAGTTGTTTTAAAAACATT